ACGCCAGCGGAACCCCGGGGCGTACATCCGACACCTTGACAGTGCACATTGTCCCACGCCTGCCACGCAAAAGAGGCGGAGACCCAGGGACGCCAGCGGAACCCCGGGGCGTACATCCGACCCCTTGGCAGTGCACACTGTCCCACGCCTGCCACGCAAAAGAGGCGGAGACCCAGGGACGCCAGCGGAACCCCGGGGCGTACATCCGACCCCTTGGCAGTGCACATTGTCCACGCCTGCCACGCAAAAGAGGCGGAGACCCAGGGACGCCAGCGGAACCCCGGGGCGTACATCCGACCCCTTGGCAGTGCACATTGTCCCACGCCTGCCACGCAAAAGAGGCGGAGACCCAGGGACGCCAGCGGAACCCCCGGGCGTACATCCGACCCCTTGGCAGTGCAAAGTGCGTCGGCGTTTTTGTCTGTTTGTTTTTTGTTGTTGGTCTTGCCACGGCCTGCCACGAAAAGAGGGGCCTGACAGTGCACTTTGTCCCACGCCGCCATGATGTGAGTGTGAGTGTGAGTGTGAGTGAGAGTGAGAGTGAGAGTGAGAGTGAGAGTGAGAGTGAGAGTGAGAGTGAGAGTGAGAGTGAGGGTGAGGGTGAGAGTGAGAGTGAGAGTGAGAGTGAGAGTGAGAGTGAGAGTGAGAGTGAGAGTGAGAGTGAGAGTGAGAGTGAGAGTGAGAGTGAGAGTGAGTGAGTGTGTGTGAGTGAGTGTGAGTGAGTGAGTGTGAGTGACTGAGTGAGTGAGTGAGTGTGAGTGAGGGAGTGAGTGAGTGAGTGAGTGAACGGGCGAGGAGGAGGAGGCGGCGGAGGAGGCGGATACAGAACTAAAAACAAAAACCCCACACGTCAATGTGGGGAAAAAACGCCCCCCAAATGGATCCTGAATCTGCATAAAAATGTTCGAGACACTGCAACATATGTATGATGATGATAAGGGTGATGATGAGGATGATGAAGTTCTGGATGGGGATGATGATGATGATGGTGGTGATGATGATGATGATGATCATGATGTGGATGCTGCGAATGATGGGGATTATGATGATGAGGAGGAGGAAGATGATGAGGATGAGGATGAGGATGAAGATGTTGTTGTGGATGATGATGATGATGATGACGATGATGATGCTGATGATGACGACGAGGAGGAGGAGGAAGATAATTATGATCATTTGGAAGCCGGCAAGTTTCCGATGATGATTTTATAGAGTTGTTGGTTGGTTTACTTAAATTACGTCCTGAAGATGAAATACTGAAGAGGACGACCCTATACCTGCAGGAAACCAATGGCCCAACGGGACCAGGGGATGAGGAAGCTGATCAACGATGAGGGGGACGAAGGGGATGATGAGGATGGTGATGATGATGATGATGATGATGATGATGATGATTTGATGATTTGATGATTTGATGATTTGATGATTTGATGATGATTTGATGATGATGATGATGATGATGATGATGATGATGATGATGTGGATGCCGCGGATGAGGGGGATGACGTTGACGATGAGGATGATGAGGATCAGGATGAGGATCAGGATGAGGAGGGTGAGGATGAAGATGAAAATGAGGATGATGACCCTCTACCAGCCGGAAATCTCCTCTCGGGGGGGACCAGGGGGGTCGAACCTGGGCCTGCCATGCAGGGGGGGGGCCTAACTGGAAAGTCTCAGGGTTTCCAATGGTCCTGGTGCCTGCCTATTCATTGCTAAAGCAAGAGCAACTTCAGCTAGCACAGCTAGCTTTCGTGATTAGTGTAGTGTAATGTAGTGTAGTTGTAGTTGAAGTTGTAGTTGTAGTTGGTGTAGAGTAGTATAGCGCAGTGCAGCGCAGTGCCGTGTAATTGAGTGTAGTGTTGTGTAGTGGAGTGCATTGTAGTATAGTGGAGTGTAGTGTAGTGTAATGTAATTAGCGTAGTGTAGTGTAATGTAGTGTAGGGTAGTGTTGTGTAGTGTAGTGTAATGTAATGTAGCTGTAGCTGTAGTTGTAGTCGTAGCTGTAGTTGTAATGTAGTGTAGTCTAATGTAATTAGTCTAGTGTAATGTAATTAGTGTAGTGTAGCGTGATGTAGTTGTAGTTGTAGTTGGTGTAATGTAGTTGCGTGTAGTGTAATTGAATGTAGTGTAGTGTAGTGAAGTGGAGTGCAGTGTAGTGTAATTAGTGTAGTGTAGCGTAGCGTAATGTAGTTGTAGTTGTAGTTGTAGTTGTAGTGTAATGGAGTGTAGTGTAGCGGCGGTTGTACACCTTGTGCCTGCCACGCAAAACGACATCCGAACGTCAAAAAGTGCTCCGAACCCCTCAGCTTTTGCAACTTTTGACTTCTAAATATGCTTCGCTCCACAACGGCGTGCTTTCTTTCGACATCTTCACTTCAAAAAGTGCTCCGAACCGTCAGTTTTTAAAACTTTTGACTTCGAGAAGTGCCTCGCGCCACGATGGCGTGCATTTTTTCGACATCACAACTTCAAAAAGTGCTCCGAATCCGTCAGTTTTTTTCACTTTTGACTTCGAGATGTGCTTCGCGCCACAATGGCGTGCACTTTTTCGACATGTCAGCTTCCAAAAGTGGTCCGAGCATGGTGGTGTGTTTTGTACGTGTTGACTTGGAAATGTGCTTCGCGCCACAACAGCGTGCACTTTTTCGACATCACAACTTCCGAAAGTGGTCCGAACATGGTGTTCTTTGTGCATTTTGACTTGGAAATGTGCTTCGCG